AGCAATTTTGCAATAAAATCTTTGCAGTTCACCAAATCTTGGCATTAAGTTGGCAATGTTTCCAGGACACAAGCTATATTCCAATCAGATTATGCTGCATTAATCATATTTGCACACAATAAAAACAGGTTTTTTCAAGCCTCATTTCCCATTCTTTTTTATTAAAACAGTTTTCAGCGGCCAATGATAATTTTATTATTGATTTCTGGAGAACATGGAAGCAGCTGTGATTTAAGTACAGGAAAAGCATTCCAAATGAAAGCATCCTGCCTACTGATATTACATCTTATCTACCTCAGAGACAGAAGATAAAACTTTCAACAAGGCCGTAACTTTTGGAGAAGGAGGGCAGTCACAGAGGAATCCTTTCAAGCACAATTGAGTTTGTAATTCTTACTAATTCCCCCTCCATCTGCCAATGGCCCGGTGTGAAATTACAGCCAGGTTGAGAACCCCACTGCTTTAGCTCTGCTCCTGTCAAGGGACGTCTATCCATCACCTCATTGTGCAACCTGTCCCATTTAAAACCTAGTAATGCCAAGGCCTCCTGCATTACTTGGATGCAGACCTACTAATTACAAGTGTAGCTCACACTGAGAAGGAAGCAGCCAAATAAAATGCTGTGTGAAACCAATCTCTCTCTGCTGCATTTCCAATGGGCCTCGCCAACTCCTAGTCTCAGGTGAGTGTTGTAGTGAAGACTCTCTACTGACATACCTTTATCTTTCTTCCTGCAGTTTGCAGAAAACACCAAACAGAGAAGGCTGTCAATCTTTTGGATTACATGCAACATTTTCCTTTACCAAAGCACGGGCAGTTTTGACAGTACTAGTAAAACAGGAAGGCAGACCAGAATTGTTACTGACTACTGGTCTTCTACCTAGTCAGGATGAATAAGCAGAGATGAATCATTTGGATAATAAAATAAACTACTATTTAGCAAACAAAAACGCACTGCAAAAGGACCTTCAAATCTCTCTAACTTAAGGATTTAAACAGGAAGGCAGGCAGCAAGGTCAGCAGTGGCAGAGAACGAAGGGCTGCTGGGGTGATGGCTGCGTAACATCACAGAAACTTGTCTTAATCCCCGCTAACAGCAAGGGCTGAAATAGCTGATGACTCTTGCTTGCATCAAGCTCTCCAAGATTTTAAGCAGCAAGTATTTAACTATGCACACAAACCACAGTCAAACCCTGCTGTTGCTGTTCTTCCTGCTCCTTCGACTTTCGTCCCAACGCCACTGAGCTGAAAGGAAACATTATTTTATGCACAAAATACGATTCACTAAAACAAGGAAACCAAACAGACTGAATAGGAAGGGGACAGTCAGCTTCATATACAACACAGATTTCTGAGCCTCCAGTACTAGTGTAGTACTAAACCTAGGGAGACTTGGGAGTTTCCATACATGTAGGAGATCTTATTTCCCTTAATGGGAAAACAAGGAATCTAAAACCTGTGAAGAGTTATTTCAATTTGCTTTTGTTTTATTTTGAGCAGTCAAACTAATTCAAGCTGTAATCACAGGGGCTACAAATTCAGCAATTTAATGTCCATAATTTCTCAGAAAAAGAAGGCTAAAACCTTCAGGCTCTTTTCTCAAGACAAAAAGACTTTGTTTGCCGAACCCACCCATTAGCAGTATTTCTCAACCCTATGCAAGGAAAGAGACAAACACAATGAGAGAACATGGAAGTTAATAACAAGAATTCAAAGTTTAACCTAATTTTGACATGAAAGCAAAATGTATCAGACAGCCTTGAATTTTTTCAATTCTGAGTTAAGTGGTCCTTTAATTTAATAAGGTCAAGAAATACTACCCTATAAAACAATGCATGAAATTATGTTTTATGTGCAATGTAACATGATGATACTAAAACTGCTGTCAGTTGGCAAGCTGGCGTTCTCAGTCATCCTACTAGTAGAACACATGATCACTGCAGCATGTGTGTAATTGTGTTACAATGTACTTCAAAATGGAAATACCACATCCCTACCAAAATTAGATTATTGTAGACAGAAAACAGTGTTATTGTAAGTAGGTTTGTATTCTTAAATTCATAAAGAACAAAACTGTCTCAAGCTTCTAAAGTTCAAAACAAGTGATTCTGACTTCTCTGGCACTGAACCACCTCCTAAGCAAGACTTTTGGTGCTGCCAGTGGCCACTGGTTTGGGAAGAAGAAAGACAGAAGAGTGACACTGTGTTTTCCTTTACTGACACCACAGCCTACTCTTCACGTGATAGGTAATTCAAGGTGTTCCAAAATAATCATTTTTCTTCTGAGATGTCAAAATGTGTGACTGTCAGCTTTGGATGAATGTCATCAGTTTATTTCTGATGTGAAAGTTCACGCGAGAGAGAGGGGAAAGGACCATGGCATATAGTTTTTGGCAGGGTCAATGTATCTTCAATCATTAAATGTGAAGATTGTGCTTGCTATATTTTTAAACAACTTTACAGAAATGTGACTTAGCAATATCTGAAAGTACAAATGCAGAAAACTAGATGAGGAGCTGATGACATTTGCGATGGTTCCGTTGTTCTTCCTTGGTCTATTTACATGTCTTGAATGGTACCCAAAAGGCTTCTGCGGAGCATGCACCATCTGGTATGCAGATACCATTTACAGATGTTAAATTACAGATAAACTAGCTTTTTACAATTTTTTTTAATCTAGACAG